CCATGACACTCAATAGGCCCTCTGGCCCCTCTCCCAGGGTCGGGATCCGGAACCGGGTATTTTTCCCACAACCACATGTTCCATCTGCCTGATGGAACCTCTACACACACCACCAGCTTCAGTTGGTGGATTTCCCCATTCTTGTCAGCTTAACCATTTCTCCAAACCTGAGAAATTGACTGTTGAGCTCCAGGAAATCTTCTGGTGTTCCTAGAAAGAGGTGGAAAGCCCCCAACCATGGCCTTCATGGCTACAATTGAGCCCTTTGCTGACATTCATCTCTGGTTGCTTCCCGCCGCTAAAACCATATCGGACAACCCAGGGTAGTCCACACATGCTAGCACTGCAGACACCAAGCAGTGCGTTCACCTTGGACCCCAGGGTCCTTGGATTTTTCTCTTTTTCTTTTCTTTTGGACCACTACTCAGTGGTCCCACTGTGACAGACCACTCGGAGTGGCCTCTAGTTTCTCTGGCTTCTGAGTCACCCAGACCAGAGCCAGTCAGGCTACAACATCCTGCCTGTAGAGAAGAGACGTCTTCCTAGGCTTTGTGGTGTTGCTGTTTTACACAGCACCTATAGAGAGGAGGCATTCTCTCATAAGCCTTGTGATGTCACTGTTCTGGTGGGTTTTCATGGTTTCAGCTATGAGCAACAAGCCCTCAAAGACCATCAATCCAACCTCCCCCTTGGGATGCCTTTTAGAGGCCCTAAAACCCCAGGACTTAATGCTCTACTTACAGACTTACACTTGTCCATCTTTGTTCAAAAAAATGGCCTCATTACCATTTAGGTAACAATCTAAAGTGGCGGCCTAATGGCACCTTTGATTCCAATATTCTGTGGAAGCTTTCTAACTACTGTCAGTGCACAGGCAGATGGAAGGAGTTTCCCTATATCAAAGCTCCTTTGACTCAAACACAACCACCATCTGTAACAGGGAGCCATGGGTAAACATCATGGTATCAGGACAGCCCATCTTCTTTCTCTTGGACACTGGAGCCACATACTCGGTACTGAGGGAATTCTGGGGGCCACCTATCCTTCTTGTTCCCCTATTGTTGGGGTCGGGGGACAGCCTCATCTTCCTCAGCAGATCCCACCACTTAACTAACTGTGCTTTTAGGGGTATTTATCTCACTCATTCATTTTTAGTCATGCCAATCTGCTCAGTATTTCTTATGGGAAGAGTTTTTTTTTTTTTTTTTTTTTTTTTTTTTTTTTTTTTTTTTTTTTTAGCAAAAGTAGGAGCTTCAGTTTTGCTTGCTCCTTCCATTCTCCTTATCCCAGATTCACCAGCAGCTCCCCTCCACCTCCTTCTAGCCTCTCAACCTCCCAGCTCCAATGTGTCTTTTCCTCTACCAGCCTTTCAGGTGGACCCCAAGTCTGGGACACCCAAAACCCCTCTGTTGTTAAACACCATTCCCACATCATTATCCAATTATAAGATCCTACTAAGCACATTACCCAAACGCAGTACCCCCTCTCTCTCCAGACCCTTGGGGGACTTAAGTCTATTATCTCTGACCTTCTAAGAAAAAAAGCTATTTCACCCCACCTCTTCTCCCTTTAACACTCTTATACTTGCTGTTAAAAAAAAATCTAATGGAACCTATCACCTGGTTCAAGACCTCCAGCTCATTAACTCCACTGTGGTCCCTCTTCATCCTGTAGTGCCTAACCCTTACACACTTCTTTCCACTATCCCTCTAGGAACCTCCCACTTCTCAGTTCTAGACCTCAAGGATGCTTTTTTCTCTATTCCTCTCAGCTCTCAATCTCAAAATACCTTTGCCTTCACCTGGCCTAACCCTGACCCTCACCTCTCCACACAGCTCATCTGGACTGTCCTTCCCCAGGGATTCTGGAACAGCCCACACCTATTTGGTCAGGCTTTAGCTTCTGATCTATTCTCACTGTCTCACCCTAAATCTAAACCCATACAGTATATAGATGATATTTTATTTTCAGTCCATCCCTAGAGATTAGCAAAATTGATATCTTTGCTCTTTTAAATTTCTTGTCCAAAAAGTGCTATAGAGTCTCACCTTCTAAGGTCATTTACCTGAGATTAACTATTACCCCAACCCAAAAAGCTATTACTGTAGACAGGAAAAAGCTGATTCAGTCCTTTGCAGTTTCTTCCACAAAAGAAGAGGTTTTATCATTCCTAGAAATAGCTGGCTTCCTACGTTCCTGGATCCCCTCTTTTTCTCTCCTCACCTACCCCTTATATGAGGCAGCTCTCAGCTCTCTGCATGAGCCTCTTCCCTAAACCCTTTCAGAGACTCCAGCAAGCCCTTATCCAGGCTCCTGCTCTTCATCTCCCGGATTTAACTTGTCCTTTCTCACTTTATGTAACAGAGAAGGAGGGATATACCCTTGGGGTTCTAGGACATCATCTGGGACCTTGATTTGCACCTGAAGTGTACCTGTCAAAGAAGCTGGACCTCACCACTCAGGACTTGGCACCCTGCATACACACTTTAGCAGCTGCTGAGCTTCTTATTCGTGAGTCAAATAAACTAACCTTTGGGTCACCCACCACAATCAGTTCCATCTCTTAACTTACAAAGGCTTACAAACCTTACCTCCTTCCCAAGTTCTTTCCCTCCAGGTGTCACTAGGAGAAGATGCCACAGTCACTTTCCAATCCTGCCCACCCCTTAATATCTCAAATCTCCTACCTCAACCTAACATTAATTATTCCCCATCTTAATCCTTCATAGAAACCTTAGAGGATCTACTGCCCCACCGCTCACATATACAGAAGGCCAAACTGTCCCAGACCACTTATTCCTGGTACACACTCCTCTTTATGTGAGGGGACCCGTAGAGCAGGCTATGCCACAGTGTCAGATTCTGGGGTGGTGGAGGCACAGGTACTCCCTGCTCATACAACTAATCAGCAGGCTGAATTAATAGCCCTTACCTGTGCCTTCCAGTTAGCAAAAGGGACAATTTTTAAATGTTTACACAGACTCTAAATATGCCTTTCATATCTTCCTGTCCCACGCAGCTATCTGAAAGGAGTGTGGGCTTCTTACAATGAAAGAAGGATCCATAACTAACTAAAGTTACATTATGGACTTGTTAAAAGCCTCCCATCTCCCCAAAACTATAGGTATTATTCACTGTTGGTCTCATCAGACTGACAGCTCCATTATTTTCAAGAACAGCAGCATTCCAGAGCCCAAACCTACATCAATCACCTCAGGGGCTTTATACAGTACAGCCCACATTCTCACAGACACTCCCTAACACCCAGAAAATTCTATCCTACCTACATCACCTCTTTCATCTAGTAGCAAAGCTCTGTTTCATTTTGTCAATGCTCACCTCCAACCCGCCTCTGAGGATTTAGAGTTCTTAAAATCTATCACTACCTCGTGTAAAATCTGTCAAAAGTCAGATCCCAAGACCAAATATCATAGCTTCCCTTTTTTTACTCAACAGGCTAGGGGGTCCCCTCCAGGAACTGACTGGCAGCTTGAGTTTACTCATATGCCCACAGTCAGATGAGTTAAATATCTCCTGGTTTTGGTGGACACCATGTCTGGGTGGATTGAAGCATTTCCCACCACTAACAAGAGGGCCCAGTTTCCAGTGTTCTCCAAGAAATTATCCCCTGTCTGGAATTCCAACCTCTCCTCAGTCGGATAATGGCCCAGAGTTTACCTCCCAGATCTCTCAAACTTTATCTAAGGCTCTTAGCATTTTCGTATCCCATACCATCCTCAGTCTTCAGGGAAGGTAGAACAAACTAACTGCTCCTTTAAAAAAATGTTCTTGTTAAGATGTCACAGGAGCTTCACCTTGACTGGGTAAAACTTTTGCCTCTGGGTCTTCTTAGGTTTAGGGCTCTTCCCCCAAAGCCCCCTTTCCATCTCATCCTTTGAACACATGTATGGGTGGCCAGTTTTAACTACTGGCCTCTCCCCTAAAACCTCTCCCCTTCCTGATCACCTGCTTATTCTGCTGTTATCCCATCTTCGCTCCCTATTATGGGATTTTACCAACTAATCATTACCTCAACCATGTGCCAATCCATGCCCACCACCAATTAAACTAGAAGATCAGGTACTATTCTCCCTCCCACAAGACCAACACCCCTTACCCCTAAATGGTAGGTCCCCTTTAAAGTAATTCTTGCAACTCCCACAGCTGCCAAGCTCCAGGGACTCCCTCATTGGATCCACCTGTTGCATCTTAAACCTTTTACTCTTCCAGCTCAAGATACTTCCTCAAATACTCAAACAGGGCCCTGCTTCCTTAAGTTCCAGAGGCCACCAAAGATCAGTCACTTTTTCTCCAGTTCCAGAAAAATAAAAGTCTCAACAACTTACTCAACTCTCCTGTGCCAAAAACTCCATTACTCTCCTTCTTCCTCTTTCTCTTATCTGCTTTACCAGCTTCTCTATATCTCCAGTGTCATACTTAGATTTCCAGTTAACCAATCAGCTGCTATTACAGGGACCATTATTAAACATAGAGCCATAGGTACAAAGATTACCAAAAGCCCAGGTAGTAAGAAACAATAACAAGTTTGGGGACATTCACTGCCCCAGACGCCAAAAAATTCACAAAACAGATTTTAACATAACAGGTTTATCACTGACTGCAGCAGTGTCTCCAGGATGTTGAGGTAATACCATGATGCTAAAGAGATGCCTTAAGATTTGCTTCGGGTACAACATTGAGGGGTCTAACAATTTCCCTTTCTAATAATTCCCCCTTCTTTTCTTCCCTCCTCCCCACCATCTTCTATTCCAACACCATACTACTGTAATCATAAGCTTTTAATATGTCTAAAATTTATTTCTTTTCAAACATTTTTTCATAAGCTCCAGGGAGCCAATTGGACGTATCTAAATGGACCAGACTTTCCCAGAATAAGTATCATTTAATTCTTCCCTTATCATTCCTGGTCTTGACAATCTCTGGGAAACTCCCTCCTCTACCCTCTCAAGATCCCCTCCATCTTCCATCTTGGGACTCACCTCCTTTAATCACCAGGATCTAAATTTTTTTCCAAACATAATCTTCTGCCTTTCCAGCACCTTGCGAGTTCCAAGCTGCCAGCCAGCCAGTTTCACAGAGCCCTAAATAAAAACACAAAATTAATCAGCTACCCCAAGATGTGGTCAAGCACCTCAACTCTCAATGTGGGGGCTAGCCATGATAATCTAAGTCTTGGCAGGTTACGCAAAGAAAGTTCTTTACTTCCCACCATTATCACCTGGGACTCTGGCCATCGATAAACTTAAATAAGAGGCCTGAGTTTCAGTAGTTTACCCTGAGACAATGCCTGGTAGCAGAAAAACACCACAAGCTGAGATTACCCAACCCCCACCCAAGAGCAGACCATTTAAAGGTAACCCCTGACATTCCAACTGCTGTTGCACCTCACCAGGACACCCCTAGAAAAATGTCAGCCAATCAGGGTCCTTAACCTCAGAGACCCCTCATCCCCACCTTTACTACTATAAAAACCCAATTCTAATTGGCTCGGGGCTCTCCAGTTATTCCAATATGTTGGACATGCAGAGAGACCAAGTTTGCAAACTAGATTAAAATAAAGGCTCTTGCTTTTACATATGGGACTCAGTCTCCTTTGTTGGCTTTTGTGGGGACCCCATGGATTTGGGCATAATATCCAACACACACAAAATCAGCTGTTCCATCTGCCTGGACGCAGCTCCTCCAAACAAAAAATCAACTAATCGTGAGTGTCCCCTTCTCGGCCAGCTTAACCATCTCTTTTAACCCAAGGGATTGACTGTTGAGCTCCCGGCAACCCTTTGCGGTTTCTAGGGCTGGGGGAACCTCCAACCGCAGGCTTTCAGGGCCTCGGTTGTTCCCTTCGCTGGCATTCAATTCGGCTTGTCTCCTCTGCTAAGCCCGTGCCTGGGATGGCATTGCCTTAGCCAGCCCCTCAGCTCACCCATGCCTGGAGGCCCGGGGTCTCCAGTTCTGTCTCTTTTTCTCTTTTCATTTCTTTTCTTCCTTCTTTTTGTCGTAACTTCCGCTACAGTGTTTTTTAAAAAATGCTGCAAGATCCCCGGTGGCAGTAGGCAGCAGAAATGCTGTAGGTTCCAAATGGTGGTAGCGGGCCATGTTGTTCTTAATTCTGCGGGTTAGAGGGTAAAGACCTTAAGCGAGGAAGAAGACACAGACACGCGGCCGTCCCATGTCAGTGCACTTTAATGGGGGAGGGGTAACAGGCAGGTAAGGGGTGTGCGGACATGGTAGGAAAGGCAGGGGAAGAGAGAAGGGGAGAGGGGGGAGAGGGGGGAGAAGAGAGAGAGAGAGAGAGAGAGAGGTCGTAGAACCCTCGCTTTTTAACGAGGAATACAAAGGCTTCTGGGAGTCCAGGAGAATGCTGGGAGCTGTAGTCTTGCAAAGGAACAACAGGCCATGTGGTGGCAGGCAGCGGGCTCTGGGAGCAGCCAGTCCCAGGCAGAAATGGCTGCCAGTCCCAGAGAGGTGGCCTGAGCGGTGGTGGCGGGCCATGTGGTGGCAGACAGCGGGCCCTGGGAGCAGCCAGTCCCAGGCAGAGATGGCTGCTGGTCTCAGAGCAGTGGTGGCGGGCCATGTGGTAGCAGGCAGTGGGCCCCAGGCAGAGACAGCTGCTGGTCCCTGAGCAATGGCTGGTCCCAGGCAGGGAGACACATCGCGGGCAGGCAGAAGACAGAAACATGAATAGACATGACATGCAGGGTGAGGTTGAATGTTTATTCAGGGGGTTATGGAGGAGGAAGGGTGAAGGGGGGACAGAGAGAGAGGGAGAGAAAGAGAAAGAAAGAGAGAGAGAGAGAGAGAGAGAGAGAGAGAGAAAGAGAGAGAGAGAGAAGGAGGAGGAGGAGGAGAAAGAGACAGAGAAGGGGGGAAGCAGAGAAGTGGGGAGAGAGGCAGAAGCAAAGCTGCCTCTCCAAGAGGAAGATGGAAAAGAGAGTGAGCTCAGGCTGGAAGCTCAGCCTGCCTCAGCGGATGGGGGAGGGAGTGGGCGTGGCTTGTCTCCTAAAGGGACCAAAACCATACAAAAACAGTGGCTTGTTGTCTTACAGGAGCAACAATCCCCAGAATTCCAGGAAGCTGTTTGTCCTTGGGCAGGGGGTTTTACAGATTAGAGGCATTTTTGTTTTGCAGATCTCTTAAGCTCAGTCATTTAAACTTAACCCTCACAACTGGTCTCAGCCAAGAAATTAGAGTGGTCTTCTAGAAAGTGAATCTAATCATACCACTACATAATCTAGAGCTTTTCATTATACTTAGAAAAGCAAAACTTTCCATATTGTTGTGGGACCCCAGGCAACCTGGCCACACATAATGGGGCCCAGACCATGTGGGGCCCTGGGCAGGTTGGTCAAACATGGGGCTCGGGCCACACAGGTGCCATAGTAGGCAGCACCAGGTTCCAAGTCATAGGCTGGCTCCACCCAGGAACAGACCATCCTAAGGTAATTTCTAACATTCCAACCATTGTAGATAGGATCACCTGCTAGTACCCACAGACAAATGTCAGCCAATCTGGGGTCCTGAACTTTAGAAATCTCTCACCCCTACCTTTGCTACTATAAAAACCCCACCCCATCTGAGCTTGGGGCTCTATGATCACACCAATTCATTGGACACATGGAAAGTGTGAGTTTGCAAACCTGTATAAGAATAAAGGCTCTTTGCTTTTATATACAGGACTTGATCTAGTTGGTTTTTGGGGGACTCCATGATCTGGGCATAACATAGCCTTTACCCTCCAGGATCTAACTGTCCATTGCATTTCTGACTTCAGCTATTCTCCACTTTGCTGCATCTCTTTAGCCTCCTTCTTATGACCCCATGTGCCACCTCAAGACATTTGGACTGGCTCTTTCTTCTGCCTAGAACACTGTCTTCCAAAGTGCAATGTCTCAGCCAGATAACCACTTTGATCATTTGTTCTAATTTTTGTGTATCTTTTCAAGCTAATCTTTTCATTTCTGGACCTTGTTACTGCCCTATTTATTACACAACAACCTTAACCATATTACCTATGATTGTATATCACTTCTTTGTGTCTTTCCTAGAAAACAGAACTGCTTTGTCCAGTAGCACAAAAGCTAAAGCATGCAGTTCCTTGAAGAAAAGAGCAAACACTACAGGGAGACACACAGACTCTGAATTTGTTTTACTGAGAAATGAGAAAAATTTCGTCTTACAGTTTGGTGTATTTCAAGGACAGAGTAGGGGGTGGTGGTGTGGAGAGGTTAGTGTATGGTGAAGAAGGGAGGATTACTGGGAGTAATCTTATCTTATCTGGAGCTTTATAAATCATAAAGGCTCGAAGCTACCTTGTGAAGATACTTACCCCAAAGGCACACCTAAAGACATTTTCCCCTCAGGCTAGCAGCTTGTCTCACAGTTTTCTGAAAAGACATTTGCCCTCCAAGGGGAGGATTAACTGAGTCACAGTTGCCCTAAATTTAGGTTTGCCCTTGAAAGCTTTACACACGGTCTATCTAGCAACACAAAACCTCCATTGGGCAGAGGGTTTTAAGCACTGAGTTGTTGTAACTTCAGCATATAAGGCATGCATATACACTCCACAAATCCATAAATGCTGAGTGAAGAGATGGGTGAAAGCATGAACAGATATCTTCCGTAGCTCTAGATAATTATAGATGGTGATGTTATGTGGACAGATGTGTTAATTTCACATGAATTGTGGCAGCTCCATTTGAGACTCTATTTTTACAAGGGAAATTTTTATTTGGGAATTCACTGTTCTTTTAAATTGGTAAGCACTTCATAGCAGAAAGTTCGAAAAGTAAACTTTTAGAAAGGATATATAATAGAAAAGCAAATCTCTCATCTGTATTTATTTCCAATTTTCCCTCTAATCCTCGGGGAATTGCTCTTGACTCTAGTGAAGTGGTTTGCAACCTGGGGGTCATGACGTCTTTGGGGGTTATATATCAGACATCCTGCATATTTACATTACAATTCATAACAGTAGAACTGTTACTGTCATGAAGTAGCAATGAAAATAATTTTATGGCTGGTGGTCACAACAGCATAAGAATTTCATAAGAAGCATCATGTCAATAGTAAAGGCCTAAAGAAAGAATTTTCCATTACTTGGCAACAAGCTAAGGACATTATAAAGAGATGTCCTACTTGTTCTTTCTATAATCAAACACCGTTGCCTCCAGGGAGTAACCCAAAGGGCACTAAGAGAAATGAAATCTGGCAGATGGATGTGTTCCACTTTATGGAATTTGGTAAATTAAAATATGTACACCACACCATAGACACGTATTCAGGTTTTCAATGGGCTACTGCCCTGAGCTCAGAAAAGGTTGATTCAGTAATCACACATTTATTGGAAGTTATGGCCATCATGGGTATACCTGCGCAAATAAAGACAGATAATGGTCCAGCATATGTATCTAAGAAAATGAAACGCTTTTTTGATTATTATAATATAAAACACATTACAGGTATACCAAATAATCCTACAGGTCAGGCAGTTATAGAAAGATCAAATCATACTATAAAGGATATGCTGAACAAACAGAAAGGGACCGAAAATACCCCCAGAAATAGATTACATAATGCTTTATTAACCTTGAATTTTCTTAACGCTAATGAGAAAGGAATGACAGCAGCAGAAAGACATTGGATAATGGAAAAGTCTGCTGAACTAAATCAACCGATTTATTTCAAAGATGTGCTGACCTCTCAATGGAAGCCAGGAGATGTGCTACATTGGGGAAGGGGTTTTGCTCTTGTTTCCACAGGAGAAGAAAAATTGTGGATACCATCAAAATTAATAAAGTTTCGATTTGAAGAGGAGAGACCTCTTGGAAAGGAGAAATGACAACTCATCCACAACGATGATATTCATAGAGGTGGTAAGAAAAACATATAGAATGGGGACAGGGTTCTGTTCTTATCTCCACAGGAAAACACTCATCTTTGAAAAATTCAAGGAATCCTGGATGTTTGGATACTGACAGATGAAAAAATACCTGGCCAATAGAAAATATCAAGAAAACTGAATGGGTTATGTAAGTAATATTAAACCATATTTCTAAATTTATAAAGCTGGTTTGGAAGTTGGACTCTGGCTCAGTTCTTCTCCAATTCCAAGCCTGTTAGTAAGAGAAAAACCCAGAGTTTCTGGAGTTTCTGTCTCATGTCTAGAGCCATGATATGGGACAGAAAGAAATATGAGTTTAGAAAACATCTTTGCTTTTCTTCATATCTATCATACTTTTCATTGAATATATCTATCATGCCTTTCAGTGAATATATACATATGTGTCTATATGATTAATGTTTAAGTTTTCACAATGAACAATGAGTTTTTCCTGAAGTGACATTTGAAGTTTCCAGGAAGAAGATGGGGCCCCATAACAACAACTCCACCTGGTTGATATGACATCCTGATACTGATAGCGCTACTACAAGACCTGTTTTGGATACCAGCTGCACAAGACGATCCCAACTTGGTTAGCTGAAATGGTGCACATCTTATACAACATTTTGGCCAGACCTGCACAAAATACTCAGAGACTATTTGCAATTTTAAAAGACATTGATCTTGAAATTTAACCATCATTTCACTTTCACAGGATCCCCCAGAAAGAACGTCGCCCCCATGACTAATTTTAGAGGACGACATCCCCTTTCCCAGTAAAGTTTGCCCTTGGGTTTAGGGACATCATTTAGGGGTTGATTATAATTAGTATACGATTGGGGGTTGGGGGAGGAATTTTATATGCTCAGAGATCATTTTGAAAAAAAAAAGAGGTATGATGGGATAATAGATTTGTAATTGTGAGTTACTGTTTTTAGACAAATATATTGGTATAGATTCTTGTATATTGATACAAAGTTAAATTATATTGACTATTGTAGGCATGCATGTTTCTACCTCTGTTTAAAACATTTTTATGTATTGACATATATTTTATTGATATATATATATATATTGTATATATTTACCATATTGCAGTGTACA